TTCCCTACTTCCCACTCTCTGCACAGCTTCAAAAACAAAAAAGGAGATGACAGGGGAATCTGATAGTCATTAATGATGTAGAAAAGGTGAACAGTATCAAAAACTAGGGGACAGCCAATGAAGTTATCAGTCAGAAAACAATAGAAAGTACTTTCTTACACAACACATAATCAGTTTGTGGAACTCACTGCTACAGGATGTTGTGGAGGTCAATATAATATACTGAATCTGGGTAATGTCCAGTATAACTGGGTTTAAAAAAAATAAAGAATTAAACACATTTAGAGAAGAAGTGTCCATCAGGGACTATTAAACTCAGTCAAGGATGTAATTTCAGGCTAAGAACATCCCTAAGCCTAAGACCTTTGCTGTCTAAGAGAGCATGAGGGGATGGATCACTCTACATATATCCTGTTTCAATTCATCTTAAAACAAACATTTAAAAACTGCCCTGAATGTGAGTGCTTTTCTGAATGGGGAATTAATATGAAATCCATGCTACAAGAAGTGGAACACTAGCTTATGGCTTATAAAAAGGGAAAACATGACTCAGTCCCAATTTAAAAAAATGGGCTTTTAAAGTCAATTTAAATAAAAATCTGAAAATGACAAAGAAATAATAAAGTCACCAGAAAGGAAAAAAACCCAGGTGTAGAACATATCATGCGGGATCACAGAAAATATGCAGGAGCATTATGAGTGATTCTGAAACAGTAAGTCTATAGAATACAAGCAAACATAATAATTAGGCACAGCTGAAGTCACCAGGATCTGGGCATTGATCTCAGTGGAAACAGGTCTTGTTTTGCTTACCTCCATGGGATAAATAGAGGTCTGTGCAGTTGCGCCAGCCAAAGAACCAGAAATAAATCTTTCGATCATACCTATCTTTCCATCTTTGTTAGCAAATAGCTTCTTATACTGTGTAGGTAAGAAACAAAGGTATTATATGTCTAAGGCAAGCAGGTTCCATTAAAAGAAGCAGAAATATGGTACAATATACAAGCCCAAGCACATGAACTATAGGGGTCTAATTAACCTAATAAACCCAGCAAGATTTTCACTCCAATTCTTTGCATTATAATTCACAAGAGTATTATATGTTTTTCAACCCATAAAGATCTTTTATATTAAAAGAGCTGTAGACCTTGTCCTCAGCTGACTCAAATAATTCTGGGACAGACAATAAGGGACCCAAATTCTGCTAATCTCCCATACAATTGCATGTAAGTAATGGGGCAGAACACTGCATTCATTGCAGACCCAGAATTTCAAATTGCTCAAGGACTGAAAGATTGAGTATTATGTGCAGGAGGTAGTATAAATGTTATGTTCAGGTAGAACGAAGAACAACTTCTGTCACTGAAAAGCTGAGCAAAACTTAAGGTGCAAAATGCTGAGAAAGATGGGCACTGCACACTAGTGAAAGACTATGAAATACCACTGAAATATGGTATTCAGAATCATGTACAGGAATTGTCAATGCGAGTGATGTACTGTAGGTTACTTTGGTCTTACTTCTAACTCTGGCAAGATGCAGCCATCTTAAACAAGAAAGCAAATATCAATTTCTGAATGTTCTAGTATCCTAAACCATAACTGAAAAGGAGATCTCTTTCCAAAAAAAGATTAGGCTTTTAATATATGTTATGTAAATGCTGATTCAGAGACAAATATAACTCTGAAATTGAGGGCAAGGACATCTTACGGTAGCATAACGACATCTGATTTAACTGGAATCCTGTACACGGATATGTGCTAGAATAAAATAGTATGCTAATTTTTTGTGTGGTTGCCATGTAGAACCAAGATTTAAGCAGTTAAGATTACAGCACCACTCCTTAAAAGCTATGCAGGTAGGCAAGCTGTTTAAAAAGTTATGACAAATTTAATTTCTTATATATATTGCTCACAATATAAAAGCAATAAACTGCATATTAGCAAGTAATGTGACTATGAAGTCAAATCAAGTCATTCTAAACTAGCAAAATGGATTCCTGGTCTATGATTAGAATTCCTACATTCTATGATAACTTCATCATAAATATTTTGATCATCATCATTTGCATTCAGGTTTTGTTTATTTGTTTTCAGTATTCAGCACTCCCTTTGATTTAATACATTACCTGTTCATATGCCCAGAACTTAATAGCTGTTTCAGGTGCAATTTTAACAACATTAACACCATTTCCTCTCCAAAGGGATCGGATACCTCCCTCTTTCAGCATCTGCTTAAAACCATCTACTATATTCATTTTATTTGACTTTGAACTGTGAACCTAAAATAACAGTAAGAAAAAAAAAACCCTCAAGTTAGATATGTGGAGTCAAGAAACAGAGCACTTAAGTGTAAAATTTAAGTAAACAAATTAACTGATTAAAAAAGCCCAAGAAAGGATTACTAAATTTAACAGGTCTCAGTCAAATGTCTGTATTAGATCACCAAAACTACAATCTAATTGATGGAAAAGGCTGTCAATTAAAGACTCTTTTGAAAATCATCATCACAGGTATTTCTTGTTTTTATAGCTGCTGCTATATTTCTTCCAAATCTAATACTGGGTCAAAAAGGAATACGAATGCTTGTTTTCTATAGAACGCAGAAAATGCCTCAACATGCAGAACCTAAATGCACAGTGGAATGTGCTTTTTTTAGGACATATGATATTTTCTATGCAGTGGTACGCAAGCAATTAAATTAAAGTCCTGTCATTCCAAGTATATGTAAAGTTCATATAAAAATGTTAAAGTATATACAACAACAACACAATTATCCCATAATAGTAATAATACACTGTTATTTTATACCAACATAACTGATTTTGGTGACCTTAATTTTCTATCTTTTTTGTTAACTTTTTCAGATGCTAAAAAATTAATTTGAATGCTCCACAAAACACTGTAAACAAAACCTTATTTTAAAGTGCAATTTTTTAATACATGCAGAAAAGCAGCAAACTAACTTACATACCAACAGCAAGGCAGAAAAAAAAATATTCTAAAATTTACAGTCTAATCCTGCAACCTGTTATACTGACAAGAGCTAGTCATGGATTATTTCAGGATCGGGACCCTAAAGTAATACAACATACTAAACAGTTCAAAAGCTTCTCTAGAATTAAAATGCCACTAGTTTTCAAGAGCAATTCCCTGTTGAAAATGGAAAAATGACTTACTAGAATTAAAGGTACTTCAATGTTTCAACCTACCTGCATCATGACTTTAAGGCGATCTAACGGTGCTGTTCCTGTTCGAGAGACAGCACCAGCCACTCCTCCTGATAACAGCTGTTTCCACCACTGCCCAGATTTTTTTTCTTCCTCTGTGAACTCATCTGGAATGGTCAAGCTATCACCTATATCCAACACCTGTTAGGATGCAAAGCAAAGTGCAAATAACTTCTGGTCCTGTATCATCTGCTCAGTTATTTTACTAACAGCTCCAACTGGCTGACCTACAAACAGATGCCAAGCAAATTACCATGTACTTACAGATGTTTAGTTAAAGAAACTGTTCAACTGGACTGATGAGGAATATTACAAGTAAGAGACCAAATTGCCCAAGTCAGAAGTTTAAGGTTGTCCTTTTTTTTAGTAGTTTAAACACAGCCTTTCATTTTCATCATGACATGCATAAATATGACAAAGAAAAGGCACTACTCTATTTAACACTGTTAGTTCAAATTTAGTAAATAAGTTACATCTGCTCTTAAAAGGAGAGAGAAACAAGTTTTTAAATAGGAATGGTAATTATTACCAAGAAGGTTGGATGTTTATTTTTATTTAAAAATAAAAACAATTCAGAATACTGGGGAAGAGGTTTAGAGGTAACTTAGTCACATATATTAATTCACAGGTATTTTAAGAGTAGCATTTTAAACTTAAACAGGAATAGCTGTATGAGAATAACAACATATTTGGAGAAAAAATGGTTTTGTGATTTAGAGTGCCTATAGTCAAGCAAACTCGATTAATCAAGTATGATAACTAGCATGCCCCAGCATCTCGTATATCAGCGTCCCAGCACTTAAAAATGGCAGTGCTTACTTGACAAAACTTTAATTAGAGCAGCTTTAATTAGAGCAGCTTTCAGAGCTGGGTGCTTTAATCAGAGCAGCTCTCGGAGTCACTCTAATTAAAGCGCCTCCCCCATTCATTTCCAGAGCATATGTATAGACACCCATAGATAGTATGTTATTTAAAATATAGTAAAGGCCTGAAGCTTCTCAGAAGGTTTGAAATACTAAGATTAGTTTCCAGAGACATGAGTTCAGGAGCAAAATCCAGGTGAGGCATTCTATGATGCCTAAAAAATCACATGTAATAAGTATAAAATTGAGCTGCACTAAAGTGCAAGCCAAACTTACAGTGGAATGTTTCCAGTAACGGATTATATCTTCAATGTCTGTAGCAGGGTTAAACATAAAATGATCCCGCCATTCATTCCAGTCCACTGTCATTGTCCCATCAGCATCAATGCTGAAACAAAATCAAAATAAAGTACAAAATAAATTACTTCTGGGGAACGGTAAAATAAATTAAACAAGAGAACTGCATGAGTAGCAGCCTCATTGATAATTAACCTTGGCTTCCGCATTATAACTCAGGCTGAATTAGCCACATCTCCTAGCACATCTAATATGTGCCCCTTTTTATAGTACTGCATAATCTCCAGCTTTGAGCATTATTATTGCATTCTTCAATTCTGGATGCAAAATAAGAAGGTTTACTCTCCTGGAATATGACATTTTCTGGCAGCCAAGTAAGTGGAAGGAATATAGGAAATTCAATAGCATATCCATGTGTCAAAAGCAGGAGACCAATAACCAGTTCTCCTGTGTTTTTTCCCATTTCCACCACTTTCCCAAGTGGCCTTTACCAAGGCACTTAATCTGTGAGACAAACCTTCTCCAATCTGTAAATCAGGAATAATAAAACATACCTCATAATAGTGCTCTAGTATCTACTCCACATCTGGTGGGATCATCAGATTCAAAGTTATTATCCCCAACTGGAATTATCCTACCTTGCTACACACACAATATAGGGCAGAAACTTATTATTTTCCAGGATTTGGGCTTTATTTACAAAGAAGTACTGACATATTCCAGCCACCCATTTCTTCAGAGGCTTGCCTGTGATTAGGCTTCCTCTTACAACTATTCAAATAATACTCTCTCTGCCCTAGCAGCCACAAGGCAGAATGAAACTATGCCTGGAGTTTTTGGTCTTGTGGTGTCATTTCTGTTATAATCTTCAAAAGTAAGACCTTGCATTGTGACCTAAAGTTCAGGATTGGGCCAGCTAAAAGAATTGACAAGTATACTTTCACAGCACAAGTTGTCTCCATTTTCATATTCTGAATATATGATCACTCCACCTGCCACTCCCCTGTGAGAACTGTCTTCAGTTTTGGTTTTTGGATTTATTACATCCATGTTTAAAAAGAAATATTTGTTATTCAAACCCAAAATCTCACCTGAAGCCTATTTTTATTTCCAGCATTGACATACCACAGAATCCCTAACGCACAAACTTTATTTAAATCACCAGGGATCCTGGTTTTCTCTGTTAAAAAAAAAACCCAAATCCACATTTTTTTGCGATTAAAATGAAACACTGCTATAAATATACGTATCAGTTGAACACAGTGTTTTATTGATATATTTACAATTTTAATCCAATTTGGAAACCTGCTAGTACCTCAACTGTTATAATAAAATGAATTCTAAATACCAATATAGTTTGGCATGTGATTTGGGTTTTTTTATCATGGAAAATAAGAGCTCCCTCTGACTCCTTTGCTCACCAGGATGCAGGTCCAGCTGCAGCTGTCCCCACATTGCTTTGTGGCACTGAGCAGCCCTGATATGCTGGTGCCCCTCACTCCCAAGCCATAGTCCCTCCAGCCCTGCCAATGCCCCTCATTCCCAACCCACAGCCCCTTCCTACTTCTCACTTGCTCTCTATCGGCAGCAGCTCCCTGATGCACCAGCATGCGGGTCCAACTGCAACTGCCCCACCCCATAGCTTTGTGGCACTGAGCAGCCCTGACATGCCAGTGCCCTGCCCCTGTCCATGCCACTGCCCCTCACTCCCGAACCACAGCCCACCCCCAAGCCCTGGCAGTGTCACCTGCACCCCCCTGCCCTGCCAGCTTTCCCTGCAGGTAGGAATGTAAATATAATTTAACATACTGTTCATTTAACCTCTTCCAATTATATTTGTTAAATGGTTAATGGATAGGCCATACATAGTTTAGTGACCTCCAGGAGGAATGGCTCCAGCTCCCTAACTCTTCATGTGCTCCTGGTGCTGCACGGGTCCCAAGTTGCTGGCAGAGAGCAAGCTGCAGGCAGGGGGTAGTGTGTGCAGCTGAGCCACTAGGCAGTGCTGCCCAGCTGCAGAGCTGTGGCTTCCCTTTGCCACCACAGGCAGGGGCAGGGGATAGGGCTGTGGACATCTCCTGTGCCCAGATCCCAATCCTGCTGCCATGGGGAGCAGGGGGAAGGTGCCAGTCCCCACGAAGGGGTCAGATGGAGCCTTCCTGCCACAGCACTGAGACTCCCAGCTGCACCATGGGTCTGCCCACCCCCTCACAGTGGCAGGAAATGGGAAGGACAACCAGCTCCCTGCACCTCTCACCATGCTTGTGTTGCTGAAGCCTGTATCTGGCGTGCTCCTCCATGCTGCCGGGCTGAACCCTCCCCATCTTGCCCCGGGGAAGGGTGTGGGGGGAGCAGTTTGGTTTTGGCGGGGCAGCCTCCACAGGGCATGCTGCATCCTTCCCCCTCCCACTTGTGACGCTGAGGCCACGTGAGGCCTAGCCCAGCCTGAGGCGGGGCTGGGTGCATGGCTGGCTCAGGCCAAGGAGGCACTGCGGCAGCTGGAGCAGGCAGTGCCAAGTCTTATGGGATTGCTGCTGGTCCTTCATGCAGTGAGCACAGACCCAGGGCATTTCCGAGGGGCAGCAACACAGCAGCTCCACCATGGAAGTAGCCCAGATGCTGCCCCCAGGATCCCTGCCATGCTACCACAGGAATGCCCTAGGGTATAGGGAGCCTGTCACCCTGCCTGGCCCTGCTGCTGCAGAGAGGCCAGACAGACCCCCTGCATAGCTGGGAGTCTCAGTGCTGTGGTAGGAAGGTCCTGCCTGACCACTATGGGGGGCTCGGCACCTCCTTCTCTTTGGCATCAGGATCCGAGCACAAGAGAGGTTCACAGCCCTGGCTCTGTCCGCAACCACAACCTCAGCCCCTGCCCATCAGGGTGAAAGGAAGTGACAGCTCCACAGCTGGGCAGCAGCCCCTAGTGGATTAGCTGTGACTAACCGGTGCCCCCTGCCCACGGTTTGCTCCCTGCCAGCAGTTTCCTGCTTCAAAGGGGAAAATCCGGGTTTTTCTCCTTTAAAAGGGAAAACCTGTGTTTTTCTGCATTTTCCCCACATGAAACAGAAAACCTGAATCCCTGTTATTCACTGTGTCAGTCAGTTAGCAATGAGAAATATTATTTCATTTGATTACAAACTTTCAGACTTTAAGTCCTATGCACACATGTAAACCCAGCCTCACACAAGTGCGTGAAAAATCTCTACTATGACATTTGGAAGGGGCTTCACAGATCTTTAGTTCTCTGCACAAAGCCAACAGAAAATATTCTTGTTGTTAAAGTGTAAGCCAATTACTATTCATTATGTAGAATACAAGAGTTTATAATATACATATCAGATTACAATAGGGCAGCTGTGACAGTTGTTAATGTGCAACTCTAAAAGCATTTTTTAACTTAATAAATGAATGAACAGAAAATGTGTTAGCATTAGCCTCAAAGATGGAATAAGGGCTACATATTAGAAGAACTCATACTATTCTGTATACATTTAAGAATGAAAGATGAGTATTGCATTTTCTTAAGCAATAGTTAACGCTTATTAGAAATGCATCTTTTTAACTTTGAGCTGGAATTACAGAAACATGCTTACGTACAACCATTTAAAGAAATACAAGCTCAAGAACACTGAGCAGAAATAAACAAACACAAACCTTTGTAAGATTTTTTCTGCCTGATGTTCTGAAATATTTATACCCAATATCTTGAGTGCCTGGACAACCTCTGATGCTTCAATTTTTCCTTAAAATGGTATAAAATAAGGAAATGTTAAAAGTTCCTTCAGATCTTGCTAAAAGCAAAGTCAATGACTTTTGATCCACTTAAAAGATTTGGAAAAATCATTAAATTGCATTATACAGTACATTCAAAGCAGCACAGAGCATTTAAATTTATAAGCTTATAAACGTATAATTTCATTATCTCTGCTAAGTCACTATAATACATAAATAAGGACCTATTCAATTTGCGATTTTGTGGAAATGGGCATTTTGCAAACTCAGTCATTGCTCCCCCCCCAGTGGGAGCCAACAGTCCTCATGGCCACTGTGGCTTGGCCTTCCAACCCACTGGGGGTGGGGGAAGCCACTGGCACGAAGAGGAGCAGCCAAGATGGGGAGTGGCAGGTGGAGTGCCAACTGCTGATTGCCTGAGAGGGCTGCCCATCACACAGCCCTATCCATCTTTGCCAATCAGCAACAAGGGGCAGGGCAGCAGAACAGACAGCTGTCTTGGCCAATCAGCAGCAAGGGACAAGGCCACATGATGGACAGGCCTCTTGGCAACCAGCAGTGAGGGGTGGGAGCCACCAGAGCCCATTGACCAATCGGCGGCATGGGGGGCTGCCACAATAAACCCATGAAAATGTTGGGCAGTCCCACAAAATTGCGCCGTGAAATTGGCCACCTGACTCCTTGATTCATGTAGGTCCCTATACATAAGAACGTCACTAACATGCAATAGGAATGAGGGATACAAATATCTAGTTAGTCAATTTCTATCAAAGACTGAGAAAAATATTTTCTAGTTAGAGACTTCCTCACAGCTACTCCAGCTATGGAGCAAGGATCCTCAGGGTAGCTTACTCTAAGCCTGTAAATAAAGGAGAACATAATAATTTTATAGTCTTTAATATTTTTTAGTCTGTGACTCCAAGGTGGATAGTAAAATGATTAAGTTCTCCTTATCCCACTGACATCAAAAAGGAAGCAAGTACAGGTTTCATGTTCACATGTTGTATTCTGTACATTTAGTTCAGTATATGTACTGAACAAAAATGTATCTTTTCATTCAAAAAGCATTTTGAACACCAGGAAAAGGTGGGGGAAGGGGGGAAATCAAGACATACCATCATTGTTTTTGTCCAGACTCTTAAATGCTAGTTTCATTTTTTTCTCATGGTCTTTAAGATATTGCATAAATTCTTCAAAGTCTAGCTGTCCATCCTGATTAGTGTCTCCAGCTTGAAAAATTTTCTGTTGGAGAAAAATAATTCAATAAAAATTAGTATAATAAATATTAATGCATTTGAATACTCCTTTCCAAATTATGCCATACAACAGCATGGCACAGTGTAGGTCAAAATTAACAAATTTTGATCCCAGTTCAGGAAAATATTTTCTATTGACTTTATAGTTGTGCTCAAGTTCTAAGATTTAGGCACATGCTGAGTGCTTACTTAAACCGATATGGTCCCAATTCCAGAATTTTATTATTTAGCATAAATAACCCCTTTAACCCAAAAAATATATATCAGGGTCCAAACCATTACTCTTCTGGGGGCTGCCATCCTGCACTCCAGGATACATTCATTGGAAAACAAAACAAAGCAAACCAGGAAAAGGCCAAATTTAAACCTAAATTCTCTAAGCTTTTGTATTGCAAAGAAAACTTTCAGAATGTGAACCTAGTGTAGCCAATACAGCTATATCTATGCTATCCATCTAAATGAGTTATTAATTATGGAAGTTAATGATGACAATGTGAATGACAGCACAGTTGGTCTTTTCAGTGCTCAAACACTGCATAGAAGAAAAGTGCTTCATAATATGCAGCTCTAAAGTCATCTACACTGGTATCTCAAAAGGGCAGAGTTTCAGAAGGTAACACTTTTATCTTAACAATTTCCACCCATAGCTACACTACACCACACCCCACCCAGAGTGAATAGGAAAATACTGTTTTCATCCCATTTTTTACCAGGAATGCTATGTTAATTGGAAACTGTAAAGAGGAACATTGGGATAAAATATCCTTTCACATAATTCTAGATAAAAAATTAACAATGAGGTAGAAATAGGGTGTGTAAACGATATACCTGTAAGGAGGTTGGGACCTCATAAGGTCCTTCCTTTCCAGCCCCTACCTTCCTATGAACTTCTGCTGTTAACCTAGTCACACTCTGGGAGTACACGCTTGAGAGAAGAACAGATATTCAAGTTGTGACCTAACTTTCTAAGCAGCATTTATTCTACATTAGTCACTGAAGCGTCAGAACACCTTGCCATGTTTGTGTCTGGAGAAGTGATAAATGGGGAGTTGCAGCATGCTAATCACTTGGAGCAGAGAAGTTACAGTGACACTCTACTCTCAGCTCTTTCGAGCAAATATCAACTTCTGTATTCTGCTCTCCTTTGACATGCAGAGCTCTTAATGAGATAGAACACTGAATGAGAAATGCACTGTGGTTAGAATACTGATCAGAGAACAGAATGCTTCCCTTAATCTGCAGCATTTCAAGCACCTCACTTGAAATCTCTCAAAAAAGCAAGAATTGTTTGAACATATTAATATAATTTATAACTGAAAATGCTTAGTGCCTCTAATACAGTGTCTCTGCTAAACAATTGATAGTCCACATTGCTAGTCCTAGCTGTGAACTTGCCAGACCCCTCGGCGATTACTCCTTTTCAAGTCAGAGTGAGCTACTACTCTGAATACATTTTTATTTCTCTTCACTCCCACAGCTAACCTGTGCCTTTCTTTCCCATTTCCAAGGATTCCTGTTTCACCAGCCTTAAATGTCTGGCAAACATCACCAAATGGGGCCCCAAACAGTTTACCCAGAATCCCTCTGTCACCCCTTCTCTCAGCCTGTTGCATATGATTCGAGTGGCCCCTACCTCCATGTGGTGGAGCCAGACCATGTTGCCCTGCATCTCATCTATATGTAAATTTTTGGAGGATCCCAGAACTTGTGACAAGATCACCCAGCTCCAGTCATGAGTGGGGACTAATTAACACATGGCTGTGGGGTGGGGAGGAGGAGGGGGGAATCTGGAGTACACACACACATACTGACCAATGCTGAGCTTTGGGGTCATCACCATGGCTTCAAATTCTGTTGACTCTGCTGGGGCCCAGGCCAATGTACTATAGGATAAATCATGAGCCCTTTGGCTTTGGACTAATATCATACATAGTGGGTGTGTCCACATATGCGCTTGACTGCACAGTTCTTACTGCACCATCCCAGTGCTGCATGGGTCATTTTTGACACTACTGCACAGTAGCTCATTGCTACTGCACAGTAGCAGCAGTGTCACAGTTCGTGTCTGCCAACACAATGTCACCGTAGCAACATAGCATCTTGTATAGATGCGCCCAGTTTGTACTATATATAGGTCAGTACAAAAGCTCTGCTTAAGAGTGTGTTTATGGAGTACCTGTGCTAAAACTTGCAACAATTTCAAAAAAAGGTAACATGCATCAATTCTGGATAAACTAAGTCTATGGGTACTCAGTAATTTACCAATACATAAATGACTACAGACATGTTTATTTCAAAGTCAGAGTTTTCAGATTTCCATGTGCTCAACAAGGTCTGACACGAACAAGAGGGGGAAAGAGCTATAGGGGAAGAAGTTGGGAGCAGGGGGCAAAGGGACTACCTGACCCCTCCAAATTCATTTTCCCTGCTGTAGCAGTGGGAAGGGGACAAATTCAAAGCAAACCTCCAATAATTAAATTCTATACCTGCAAAATTATAACAAATTTGTCTATTATCCATATATCGCAACTTATTATTGGGGGAGTTCTCTTATAATTGAATAAATACAGTAAGTTGCTACTATACAGGTTTCCCTCACTTTATGCAGGTTCTGTACTCTTATGCAATGAATTCACGTTTATACCAAAAATTCATTATATACAAGGTAAATACACTCCTATGCAATTGGTGTGGTGGAAGCCCTCAGTCAGCTGCTTTGTGCGGTGCACTGTGGGAGTGATGCACACCAAAATATAGTCTCCTCTGTGGGGATCTGTGTGCCTCGCTCATTGTTTGCGACGTGTGTTTCTGTAGTTTCCATCCCCATTATGATAGTGCCCTGTGCTTGTGTGTACTGTCTGGCAAGTACCAAAATTGTCTTGTAAAAGTGGTAAAAATAGGTCTGGGGGTCAGTACAGTCGAGGTCTTGGAACGTATCCCTAATGGTTACATTGTAAAGTGGGTTCCCTTTATGCGAATTTGAGTTATGTGCCATTTTCCAGGAACACATGTACAGCATAAAGCAAGGGAAACCTGTGCTGCTACTCCTGTTTGCATTCCACAGAAAGACTTACAGGAGTATAAGCAAGACTTTGTTCTGGCTCATAGCCCCAGTGAGCTAACTGCCAATAGGAGAATTTCTACTGCTCAAAAGGATATCAGCCAAAGATTCCTTGTAGAGTATGGAGAGATTGCAATTAGTGGAGGAATAGGAGGAAGGAAGGAGGGGAGGCAGAGGGGGACAAAAAAACCCCAAAAGAAAACACCCAATTGTTTTATTTGAAAACTGAAGTAATGAGAAAGTGACACACACAATTTTACAAAGTCCTGGTCAGCCTTGACCACTTCAAGAACAATGTGGAGAAGCTTGAGAGAGTCCAGAGAAGTGCCACTCATATGATTCATAGATGCTAGGGTCGGAAGGGACCTCAATAGATCATCGAGTCCGACCTCCTGCATA